GGGGGGGGGGGGGGGAGATGACGGGAGGACCAACCCCGGGACAAACGCCGCGCAACACTCCCTCGAGAGCACACAATCCCTGTGGGTGACTCTACAAACAAGAGAGACGGACACAAATGGCGGGAGACGGGACGCCTTCGGACGGATCGAACAAGCGAAAGTTACCTACCTTTGCCAGGGCTTCTAGCTTCGGCGCCCCCACCCCGTGGGCGGCGTCGACGAACACGGCTCCCGGGTTCGGCTGCCTCGCTGCCGCCCGCTGAAACCACGAGCCGCCGCGCTTCTTAGGGTCCTCCGCTGCGGTGGAAACAACAAAAAAGGGGGGGAGAGAAACTAATGGACATACAGATAGAGAGGGGTGCCTAGGTGAAAAGTCACGCTGACCGCAAGCGTGTGATTGTGTTTACTGGTAGAATTGATCTCGCTAACCGGCTGTGTGTGAAAGGGGAGAGGGGAGACAAGAGGTGACAAGAAACAGTATCCTTTGCGAAACGGTCCAACCACGGCGCCATTGTTGTGTCGTGTCCTTCGCAAGCTGAGGTGGAGCGCGCGTCAGAGCTGTGGTCTGAAGAGAGTTCACGAAGAAGGCACACACACCAACAGAAAAAACAACGACTAATATACACTTGAGGCAAAGCAAACCTCCGACTCGCGGAAAAAAAAAAAGAAGCCATGTATGCATACACGCGGTAAGGACAAGCAACATATGTAACCCAATACCCAGAACGTTTGCCCCAAAGCTCTCACTGGAAAGACCTCTTCAAAACACGCCTCCTGATACTTTACTTTACCAGCAGCAGGCAGGCTTTCTTGTGAAGAAAAAATCGGAAAAAAACTGGCGCGCTCACCGCTGGCTAGGAGGTCCGCGAAGCTCGAGGCTAGCATCTTGTAGTACCCCTCCTCTCCGCGCCACTCCTCCTTCCCCCAAAACGGTCCCGAGCCGGCCTCCCCGTTCGCCATCCTACCGTAACAGTACCGAATGCACACCGCGAAAAGAAGACGTTTCCGGAAGGCACTCGGCGTGATGATGCTCAGCTGCTCAACCATCGTCGCCGCTTAGACGAAGCACTGCTGTCAGGAGATACGAACCTTGGAGGACGAGGCTAAGAAAGGGAACTTTTTTTTCTTGCAATACATGGCACGAGCCAAGAAGCTTGCAGTGATAGTTGTTCCGTACTACAGCAGAGACCCCTGTGTAGCCCCGGTATGTGCGCAAAAAAGTCACCGGCACGATGCGGCACCGGAACTTTTCAAAGTATTGAGCATCACTTGAAAATTCGGCGTGTGCCCGCCAAAAACACTGGTATTTATACCGGCCACCGGCACTAATCAACCGGTACTAAACAGGGACCTCTACGGTAAAATAACACAAGAGAGGTGGGGGGAGGGGTACGAATAAACCATAACTTGCGCGGTGAACTCGTGTACGCGCAGCGGCAGCAACGGGCCCAGCTCCCGGGCGGAGTACTGCAGCAGCACGGCAATCCAAGCACAGCAGCAGCAGCAACAACAACAACATCAGCCTCGTGAGTGACAAGCCGACTACCTGACGCAGTGGTGCAACATTGGCGTCGTCATGACGCCTTGGTCGAGCCCCTCCCCACCGACTAGAGAGATGCCCAGGAGAGCGAGGGCGGCAAGCTTCGGGCTGTGGGGCCTGGTGTCCTGACATTTCGGGGTTGGGGAGGAGAAAGGGCGCAGAGCGTCCGCGCGGCGGGCGCACACACAAGGTTGCGCGGCAACGGTCCATGTCGGTTTCACGGCGAGTGTTTTTCGTTCCGCATCATCACGCAACAGCACCACCATAAGAGACATCTCAAGAGTCTCTTGCAGGGTTACTAGGGCACGCGTGCCTGCGGTAAGCTGCGGTGCCAATACTTGTCTCGCCATCTGGTGTTGTCGCCCTCATGTTGAGGATCATTTTACCCGAGACTGTTCCCCGTCGTTCGTGGTTACCGTTAAAGCGCACCGGCGATATACAGACTGGCCAGCAAGCAGCTACGACAGCTGCTGCCCTGACTGCTGTCCCACAAGGCATTGCACCATTTCTATCAGGGGGTGCAGACGGCGTGCCAGACACACGAACCCTCATGCAACACCTCTCACGCACATCCTAACCTTCATCTTCCAGAAGACACGCAGAAACGAATCCCAATTTCTCACGACGACACAGCCCTGCGGCCGTGCTGCAAGGACTTCCTACTCAAAAGAAAGCAAGTACATTACGCGAAAAGACCAGGCAGGGCATACGCAGGCCCAAACTTAGCTTATTCTATACTTTATCCAGTACGTTTGCACACATGAATAAAAAATTCAGCTACTGTACTGCAAGCACCGCTCGCTTCCATCTCACCTTGGCAACATAGACAACCGGGGTGAACTCCTCGTTCTCCCCGTCGCCCCCCCCCTCCCCGACCTTGCCGGCAGCACCCTTGCCGTCCTTGGGCTTCGAGAGAGAGATTCCCTCCTTGGTGTAGATTTGGGCGAGAGATTCCGAAACCTTTCCGTTGGGCGTGTTGGCCAGCATCTTCTCGGTGCCGTTATTGGTTTTTATTGGCAATTTTCAGAAAGGTGGCGCGGGCAACCGGCGGGGGGGAAAGGGGGGTGAACAAACCCGCTCGAGGCCGGGGAACGAGTGTGGATGATGGATGATGGGTACCTGAGGGGGGGGGAAATACAGCTAAAACGGTGCGAGGAGAGACTGAAGGCGAGTAAAAGATCAAGTTGTGTTTGTTTCGTTCCTTCTAGGCCATGGCCAGAATTTCAGACCGATCATACCTGCATCGCTCGGGAACACTCGTTAGGAGTACGACACAGAACAGACACGAAAACACCACTCTTAAAAAAAACACAAACACAACCCCATGACAAGAAGCAACAGTATTGACAGTCCCACGTAACAAAGCAACAGAACAAAGGAAAACAGCACTCGTTTGCATGAAGAAAGCAAGCACCTCCGCGTATCCCTCCCAGTCCTGCGACAACATGCCGCCGTTCGGGTCCACCATCTTGATGCCGTTGTCGGGCTCGGCGTTGTGCGACGCCGTGACCATCAGGCCCACGGCTAGGCCGGTTTTGCTGTTACGGATCGGGGGGGGGGGGGGGG